GTGTGTGTGTGTATTACCTGTGAAGGTCCCCACACTCTCCAGCTCTGTGCCCAGCAGTGCAGCTACGCTGGCTGTGCGCTCAGTGGCCACTAAGAGCAACTGAGGGTTGTCCGCTCTCTTCAACACGGAGTACCTGCAAACACAAGGCACATGCTACATTTGTCATTTAGAAACACTTTTTTAAAGAACCGAAAGTTGCGCTCGAGACCGAGAGTTTATTTTTCTTAACTGTAAAATGTCCGACTTAGTACATATCTGAGTCACGATTCTTTATTAAACACAAAGGTTTAAAATGAAATTACAATCCTCCCTTCAGTAACGTTCTGATGCAACATCCTCTTTGAGCCAAAAAGTACAGGTGAGCTGAATGGATAGCTCATAGTCTCACACAGTACATCCTCATCAGTGAAAGTTTAGCCATGTGTTTAGCCAGGTACTCACTGGGTGTTGGGCATGTAGCACACAGCCTGGTTGGCAGGAATGGTCCACGGCTGGGTGGTCCACACCAGCACAGAGACACTATCCAGACCTGCTGAGGAACACATACCACACACTGTTAAAGAGATTCCCCAACCATTTAGTAGTATAATCTTTTAAAAAAGCTCTGAATTACCTGTGTGTGTGTGTGTGTATTACCTGCTTCTGAGGCAATCTTAGGCGGCAGTGTGATCAGGGGGAAAGTGGCATAGATGGCTCTGCTCACATGCTCAGCATTGTACTCTAACTCTGCCTCTGCCAGGGCCGTTCTACAGAGGCACAGACACAGGATTAAAGCATACGAGAGTAGCAGAATCACTAAGAATATGTATGCTCCCATGCAGTAACCCCTGCATTAAGTATGTTAAGTCAGTACCTTGATGAAGGAGACCAGAAGATTGGCTTGTAGTCCTGATAGATGAAGCCCTGAAGAACAACAAAGTGGGTTAAAAAAATATTAGAGTGTCTAATGAAAACAGGACATTAGAGCACATCATTGCCCACCTTGCTGTGCATCTCCTGGAACACTTTCAGCTGAGCAGCCTCATAGGCCCCGTCATACGTGTAGTAGCACTGGTCCCAGTCCGCCATCACCCCCCAGCGCTGGAAAGCAGCCTTCTGACGAGCTATGGCCGCCTCTGCAAACGCCCGTGCTGCACGTGGTGATAAACAACTCATTACAGCAGCTGTAAATGTAACAGGCCTCATGTTCATCCAGCTTTCTGTCCATCGTTACCTTTCTGTCTGATCTGCAGCGGGCCGAGGCCGCTGGTCCCCACCTCCCCCAGAGCCTTCAGCTCGATGGGGAGGCCATGGCAGTCCCAGCCTGGGATGTAGTGGACCTGTCGCCCCCTCAGCATCTCAAAACGGTTACGGATGTCTTTCAGGATCTGGATTAGACGATATATAGTGGATTGAAGAATTATTTTGACAGTGTTTTTACAACAGTGATTAGAATCTGATAAAATGCACAATAACAGTAGGGAATAACTGACACATTACAAGCACACTGTTAACTGCTCACCTTATTGAGTGCATGTCCTACATGAGGGTCCCCATTTGCATAAGGGGGTCCATCATGAAGACAGAACTCCTTCTTGACCTTCCTCTCTCTCTGCCAGGAGTACAAATCTGCAAATCCACACTCCTGCAAAAAATATTTACATTTTTGACAAAATGGCAAAATCAAAGCATTAATAATATGTCTGTAACAGTGCTTAACCATAAAGATACTGTAGATTTCTGTTGTGCAACTATTTATGTACACACGCACCTGGAGGGTGATAGGTCACTTAGTTATGTGTCACCAAACCTTAGTCAATACTTCAGCTATTATCTGACATTATTTTTAGTCCAGAAACATGCCTGTCTGACTTACATGAGGGTGGAAAGGGGGAAATAACTGCCTCTCCGACGCATCTGATGCATGCCGAATTGAAGAATGAATCCTAATTTAATGTATAACACTTTAGGTCATGGGCTACAATGTGTGCCCAGCTGTCAGCAAGCGGGTGAAAGTTAACTTGACGTTTCTTTGAGTGGAGCGTCGTCAGCGTACCTTCTGTATCTCGAGTTCTCGCTCCAGAAGCTTCTGTCCGGTCAGTTTCATGGGGAAGTCAGTCCGGGGAAGGAGCACTGTGTCTCGGTACAGTCCCTGAGCAGAGGCTGCCTCCGCGGGCTGAGCGCTGCCTTCCTCCGAACTCACACCCTGCCAGCGGCTGGAGCTGAAGGAGAGAGCACGGTGGAGGAGGAGGCCGCCTCCTCCCTGGTGTGACCTCCGTCCCCATCTCGCTAGCGTCTGGCTCACTGCCGAAACCCGGCACAGCAGCATGGAGAGGCGACACAGCTCTTTGGCCTGAAAACTGAAAACTGTTCGGTTGTTTGTGTTGTGACAGTATGCAGGCACCGTGTTGTTATAGTCCGCCCTTCTTCTTCTTCTTCTTCTTCTGGGTTTCCCCGGAAGAAATTGTTGAAAGGACAACTACGGATACCCCGTTGGGTCAACTGTAATCGAATTAGTCGCATTTTTTGTGGGGCAACCGGTCACTGGAGGACGCTATTTATCCATCCTTAAGGGGAAACAATGCACTAACTAATGTGGAATAGTTTGAATTGTGATCGAGCTGTTGTTGTGTGCATGTATATTATTATAGTAGTATAGTATATGTACTATATGTGTATACTATATATACACTATATATACATTTTGTACACTGGTGGAATTTCTTCTCTCTCACGGTGGTCCTCCATATTCTTCAGTGTTTTAATTTACATAACTAAAACATGAATAAAACGTTTAAGGAAACGTAAAAGGAAATAAAAAAAATATAAATATAAGATATAAAGCATGGACTGTATATGTATATATTTATATACATACAATATGATATAAAGATAAGAACAGCAATAATAATAATAAAACAGAAATTATGAAAATGAGGTGGTAATATTAATAACAGGCTTTTAAAAAATATATAGCAATATTTCTATTCAATCTTTAGTAGTACGGATGTGGATAGTATCTGTATACATACAGTCAATGGGGTGGACAGGATATTAGAAACACATATATCTATGAGAAACACAACCAACACAACAGTCTGTTTTAGGTGTTTTATTTCGAAGGTGTCCGTCTTGACACTGATGGGTTTACTACTGTCTGTGTATTTATAATAATGTTTTCACTGCCTAGAAAGTAACTACAACTCCTCAGTCGTAAAGCTAAACTAACACTAATAGGCCACATTTTATTTGTTACGAATACTGACATTGTTATAAATATTCTGTGATTGTGGAGCTAATGTTCAAACTGTTGAACAGACGCCTGAACTGCCTAATGCCATAGCTTCACACTAGTACGTGAACACACCACCAGGCGCGCAGCATTGAGAAGGGCTTGGTTAAAGGTGCAGATGAGTGTATGCAGGATATTATAAAGTTAACACTTTCTCTCACCATGGCCGGCTGGGTGCACTGTTGGGCGCCTATTTTAGCGCCAATTCATCGATTCATGCAAACTTCGCTCAACTCGATTTCCGACAGCACGTGAACGCAGCAGCAGCTACGGCAGGTGGTATAAGTACCCGCTGATGTCACCGGGGGTATAAAACGCACGGCTGCATCTCCCGTTTCATTCACAGCTTCAATAACCGGAGGACCTGAGCGGAGCCGCGAGCCCAGTCTTTACTCACACTCAGCAACAAGATGAAGATGATGAAGATGATGTGTCCGGCTCACCTTGGAGTTCTGCTGCTGGCTCTCCATCTCCTCTCCTCACAGGTCGGTTCTGGCCCTCATGTGGTTGGTCTCTAACTTCAGCTGGAGATTACTTTGTAATCGTTCACGCGCTGAAAAGCTGTGGACAATTGTTTATTTGTTGTTGTAGGTTTCCTAAAAAGTCACAGATGGCCTTAAATTACAATTAAACGGTGTTTTAGCTGTAAATGAGTGACTATTAAGTATATACGGCGCTATAAGGCTGATCATAAGCAGACATGACTTTACAAAAACCCTAAAAATGCAGTTTATGTTCCTGTAATCTGATCCAGTGGGGGTTACAATGTCGGTTGAGCAACAAGTAGGCACATTAGGATCTTAAACAACCGAACCCCTCGATTGTCTCATAGGATTCAAGGGACATTTACATGAATAACTTTTAAAAAAATATTTAGGACCAGAGTTTTAATGTCTAGTGAAAACTTTTTCATTTTTCACCCCAGAAATTAGTGGGCTGATTTTTCTGAAGTCCCATTTTTAAAATTGTTTAACATGTCTAAAAAGCAAATCTGAACACTGGACTGTTGGTCAGGGGCAGTTGAGTTTTGGAGGTGCGTGGTTTTAATAGTTTTAACCCTGTGCTGGACATTATCGATGCGTCTTTAAGTTTGACATTGAGCTGCTGTCTCCTCTCTGGCGTTAGGCCCGTCTGCAAAACCTCTCCAGGAATATCCGCTCATTCATACCGAGCTGATGAATGTAAGAACAGGAGATGATGTGGTCTTGTATGTTACAGGTGGTCCAGGCCCAGAACGTCACCACAACCCCCATGACTATGAAGATGAATGGGACTAGCAAACCCACCATGACGACAGCCACCTCGATCAACACGACCATCAACGGCTCCGGGAGGATGGACTCGTTCACGCTGCTGCTCCCGCTGGCACTCGCAGCCTCTGTGCTCCACGGCTGGTCCCAATGACTACAACTGATGGCTCTTGGCACTGGACACGCACAGCCGAGACGACTGGACTGGGGACGCAACGTTATTCAAGGAGCAGTTTAGTAGTAATAAAAATCCCTTTCGTCCCGTTTTGGACTTCAAAAAGTCTTTGGGGATTTGTCTTGTCAGAGCGCGCCCTGCGGCCCCGACTGCTGCCTCCGTTTTACGCACCGACCAGGGACGCGCCCTGCTGCTTTTGTCATGTCCTGTTCTTTGCAGGGGCCCTTCACGGACTATATTCTCCCTTCTCCGGGAAAACGCCGGTCTCTTTGAGGCTGCTGTCTTCTGTGGAAGGGTGGGAGAGATTATAATTGTGGCCGGTGTAAGCGTGCCCACTGTACGCCCCGAAAAAATAATGTTATGGATACTTGACACCAGGCTCCGTAGGCCTCAAAGTGATTGTAAATTAGTTTAGAAAAGTTTTATATTACAAATTCCGGAAATGAGGTGTGATGTAAATGTGATTTTTAGAGCTCAAATTTTGTAAATCTAATAAAGCTTTGAATTGTAAGTGACAAGATGGACCTCATGAGCATTTTTTGTTTGTTGCTGCAGGTGTATAACATGAGCCATATTTGCTTTCATAGACTGATCAAACCTGAAGATACTTGTGCACTAAAATGCTGAGCCCTTAACTCTAAAGCCAACTTTTTTTGAAGCCATTTCACTCCAGGTATTTATGCAACTGACTATGTAGAAAAGTATCAGTTGCACATAGATTATCTGGATTGGCTTCAAACTCTTAGCTCCTAATCTGGTATGAGCTGAAGGCAAACAGATGTAATGCTGGCACTGTGGTTGACTAATCAGAATTTTACAATCTGATCCTTGATTTGAGGAAGTCTCAGTCATGCTGTCGACAAACGTCCTTTTGGTAACAGTCCAAAAGGTGGTCATTAAGCTACACTTGCATCCCTAATTTGTTGACATTTTCTTTCAAGTAGTGTAATTCTTCATTACTCTGTATGGGGGGGCAAGCCCAGGTTATGTGGCATGAGAGAAACTCAGCCCTTTTTAAAAGCAAAGTCCTTTCATATTGGATTAAAATAATCCTCATTTATCCTTTGCACTCTAGAGAAACTAATACACTAGAACAGGGGCATGTCCATACTATTTTGACTTGGGTGGCCCAATGCATGATGTGCAGGGGTAACTCATGTACACATTATTTAAACCTCTTGACTTGGTCAAGAGACCACTTTGAAAATAACCATACTAGTTGGTCCAAGCTAGGACAACATGGTTGGGACCAATGGCATTAGGTCATAGTTTCATAACTTCACTCTAGCTTTAAAACTGTCAGAGCCTCTGAAAGACAATGTGGAAGAAGTTAGGATAATGGGGTGGCCAATCAGATTTCAGGGGTGCACAGGCACTGAGAAGTTTCTTTTTTCCTTTTTTTTTTTTTTAAATGGAAATGAGACAGCACATCATTCAAACAATATTTTCTGTCTTTAATCAAGCTTTAGTTGTGGGTATACCATGAGCACATATCAATCCTTAAGTGAACATATAAGGCAATGTAAACCATTTCTACCATCAGGTAGCCACAAATACTGAAGCTATAAACAAACAGTTTTCTCGCCACACAAAGGGAGGAAGTGAGCACTAGACAAACAAAAATAGTTTAATAATTGACCACGAGGGATGAATAAGTCAAAGGCTGGTGAGTCGGGCCTCCTCCTTCACCTGGTGCAGGGGCTTTGCCATCAAAGGGCTTCTCTCTGTGAAAGAGATGACTGCTGGAATTCACCTGTTGTTGCCCCCCTCCCTCTCCCCGTGCACCCACTCTTGATCTGTGTGGGAATTGCATCCCACCCTGATAATTTGACAAAGGCAGTATTGTTGAGCTCCTCTTATCTGCTCCAAAGCTAGACTCAGATCAGGACCTTTGCTCCATGAGCCTTCCTCTCACCCTTCCTTCCCTCCCACCTACCCCAGCTTCTTCCTCAAAAAAAACAGGTTTTTGTTTTTTTTTGAAAAAGTGGATCTCCATCCACCCCCAGTCTCTACTTCATAATCCAAAGCAAAAGAGGCCTGACAGAGCATTAGCCACATTCCTGCAGTGCGGACGTGAAACTTTAATGCCACTGGAGTGCGGTCAGGTGATAGAAGAGAAGAGTTCTCCTTTAGTTGACCGTCAGAGTGTGACCACTTAAGGTCCTCCTCCTCCCCCTTCACTCTCCACTCCACCCATCTCTTCCCGTCCACCTGAAACGTAAGGAGAAACCCGAGTTCAGGTATGGGTGTTTGTTCACTGGTGGAGAAGTGGGGGAGGGAGTGCAAATAAAAGAGAGAGGGGAGAGGAAGGGTAACAGACGGGAGAGGGGGAAAGGTGAAGGACACTCCAAAGCTTTCATCGCTAAGGTGACCAACACATCGCACCGCTCTTTTCAAAGCAGGAATCTGCATTTCAAAACCTTCAAAAGCTCAATACTAAAGCCCCTAATAAGTGGTTTGACAGCAGCCACTATACGGCCACGCTGGTTTTTACCATTACAACCATCTTACCTGGATGCTTTAAGAGCAGCATTCATTCCACAGTGTCTGCAGGGAGTCTAAAACAACAGCCTCCACTCTGTTGCTTATCAATAAATCAAAGACTATCATGTGCTGGAAACAGATCACATCACCACCGCTGTGGCTTCCCAGAAAATAACTTGTAGCACCCGACCTGACAGCTTCAAAGAGGGTAGCTTCTGCTTCTACAGTGGCTGTGGGAGAACAGAAACAGTGAAGTCATTATTGGCCCTGCACTGAGTCATACATTTAATACTACTGTTTAAGGGAAGTGAAGTAGATACATCAGTTGATCAGATGATGCTATGATGTGTTGCTGAGTTTAAAAGTTTGACCTTCAGCTGCAAATATAACCAGATGGAAGGTTGTCCTTCGAAAGTGGAAAAGGGGAGGCACTTTCAAAGAAATACTTGACAGTTTATTGGGTGATCCGTCTATCACTGTCTATCACTGTCTATCACAACCCCTATTCAACCAAATGTCTGCACAATTGATTGCCATGAAGCACCGACATCAAGTCCGACTCAGGATTTGTGATAACTAGCTAGATATTTAGCCCTGTTATACCCGCTAAACTAATGACATTCCCATTAGCCTCACCTGTACTTACCAATGTTAGACCAATGTACCAATGTACATTACTGTACTGATACGAGCCATAATGGCATGCGCCATTGCTTCAGGGAAGTTCAGATATGCTCTTCTACCAAACCTAAAAGACATGGAACTTGAAATGAATAAGAACGAGAATAAACCCTCATCACTCCATTTCCTATATTGGGCTATATGAGCTCTGGGGCGTTGTAGTCAACACACCCTCCTTTCCTGTTCCTGTTTTTGACACCTAGATTATAACATGCAAAATCCCTTTTCTCAGGCTGATGCATTAAACATCAGCTGTTAGCGCAAATAGCCAATTATCAATCAAACATGTCTTATGCCTTATGAGGAACAAATACCAGCAGCATTAGCTGTGTGGTATATATAACAGGGTTATTATCTATTTATTTGGCTACCATGGAAACCATGGTGGTTTTCTTATGTCATTCACACATTGTGGGAAACCATTGTTAAAAAACATCATTCATCAGAGGAGCTTAAGCTGTCCATTGGGACTGTTCATTTTGCTATAATATTTATAAAAGCCTGAGCAATATTCAAAGTGTATGTAGCACAATAGTTGTAAACTAATACTGTTTATCTAGTAACAGATGAGTTGGGCAGTGGCCTATTACGAAAAATAGTTTTGTTACATGTTACTGATATTACCTCTCTTCTGTGAGAGGCAAAAAGCAAGTCTACAATAACTCCATCCGTCCACCCAAGCACGCATTGGGCAAGAAGCATGGTACAGCCTGGTACAGGTCCCCAATCCATTGCAGTGCTAACACATATAAACACACTGTGATGTTTCACCTTGAACGGCTTTCCAAAAACAGCCTTTTTAAGAATGCCAATCTTATGCAACCACACGTTAATCTGTGATCTGCGAAAGGTGCAGCAAGCTGAAGGAGCCAGCCGCTGTTGTTGGGGAAATCCCTTCACCTGGCACCGCCCAGCTGTGTCTCTAATCCTCTGCTTTAAAGAAGAACAGGCCCACACACACACACACACACACACACACACAAACACACACACTTGTTGCTTGTTTTTCCTTATACCGCCATGGTTTCCCAGGAAAGACACGGGCGGCTTCTTCTTTGCAATTTAAATTCCCCTTCTGAAACCAATGAAAAACTGCTTCGATGCTGTTGACAGACTTTGTTGGGTGTCTGACATCTCACTTCACAACCTGTAACCTCAAACTATGACACCACCACTTCCTTTTGCACTGAGCACTGTGATCTTAAGTAAACTATTCATTATATTCATATTCTGAGCTGTGTCATTCTTCCTCATTAGTTGACATATGAATGAATGTCTTGTAGTCTAATGTGAAAAGAGAGTTTAGGAATGTATCAAAGGACCAGTGTCTGCAGAGATTATGGGTATATACTGTATTATAGGGACCCTTATGCAACCCATGTAGGAATACCAGAGTTTTGTTTGTGGAAGAGATGCGTGCACGTGAGGAGATTTCATTAGCACGTCCTCCTCTGTCAGCTGTGAGCGAGGGCGACATTTGCGTATTGAACACGGAGATGAGGATCAAATGAGAAGCGCCTGAGAGCCAGGTGGGAGGGATGAAGTGAGGATGAAAGAGGGGAGAAGGGGATACCACGCAAATCCACACATCCGGAGAGGGGAATGTCAGAGGAAACAACAGCCCAGCACGGGCTCTCTGTGTCCTGCTGTGTGTTTGCTTGTGTGAAATACTGGAAACAACAAAGATAGCTCAATATATGTGACTTAAAGCTCTACATTGCCACACAGGCTTTTACATACTTCCTTTCTTAAAAGCACAAGCTTTTAACTTATTTTCCTTCCTGCTGTAACTATTTAGAATGACTGTGACCTGTGGTACGACTTCCTGTATAAATGTTGCTTTTATACATGACTTAATCAGCCAGTTAATGGGCTTTCACAGGTCCTGTTTAAAGGAATAGTTCAACATTTTAGGAGCCAGGTCAGTGATTAGCATAGCTTAGCATAAATCCTGGAAGCAGGGGCACACAGCTAGCCTGGCTCAAGTGCATTTCCAAAAATGTCAAACTATTCCTTTAGATGAAGCTCTTAATTGCACCTACAGAAACAAGCTCCAACTAGCCTCTTAATCCTATTCTTAATTGTCTTAATGTGGCATGCTGCGGCAGAGACTGGCTACTTTAAATACAGTATAAAGTCCCAAATAGATGCTTTGTGTTGTTCTCTCTGAGTTTCCCTTCTTTCAACTGGTAAAATGTAGCATGGCATGCAAGCTGCATGCTTACTGTAGTATCAGTGAGCAGAGATTTAGAGATTTGTGAGCAAATGTTATTTTATTTTCTTATTTCTGAATCTAAGTTTTAAATCAAATGGCATATTTATTGATTTAACACCTGCCTTATTGTTTCTTGTTTGAAGCTGTAGACTTTTTACTGTAAAAAATAACTGAGATTTTTCACTGAGAATTAATGGTTCATTAAAGTGTTGTGAAGTAAGAATTTCAAGTGATGTCTAAATATCTAGAAAACAGAAGGAAGTATGACTGTTGCAATGTCCTTTTATTTAACCCAATGTACTGAAACATCAGGCAATATATGTATAGATGAATATGTATACTGATAAAGAGACGAGGGAAAGAAGAAGAACTACATGGCCACAGCAGAGAACTAAGGCAAAGATAAATCATTTATTATTCAGAAACATAAAGAACATGTAAAATATGTAAAAAATAGGGATCCTATATTTAAAAAGTCATATTCAATCTTGTGCACACTGAATATGGTATCAAGATCGATCATGAGTGTTACAAGGACCAAGTATAGATTCCCACCTGCAGGGAAATGGGTCAGGATTATGTGGAGGTGGAGTCAATTAAGAGCAAGTTATAAGTGAGCACTCAGCGTTAGCACCTTAGTTTAGGGCAGTTTCCAGAACTGTAATTGGTTGACCGGATTGATTTCACTTGAGCTGATTCCAATACTTTAATGTGGACAGTCTTAGTATTCCAGGGAAAGTCTGCTTGAGCCAAGAGTCTGCTGGTGTCTGGTCATGCAAAATTGTTAGCTAACTTTTCTGCAATTTGTCATTGCCCATTGTCAGTGTCAATATGTGGAGATTGGATGAAGACATTTGAGACAGGGTCTAGACTTGTGCCATAGATAATGCTTAACATTGTGTGTTGATGATTGATGTGCTGTGCAATAACCTCTTTATACCCGTGCTCTGGATACAGAAGGATTACATTTCTTGACAAGCATAGTGATTAATGTACACATTTAGATCCTTCTCAGCTGTCAATGATCTTCATTTGCTAAGACCTGATGTACAAATTTACTTAAAAATCGAACAAGGCTAAGTGACTACAGTCATGCTAGTGGCAGGTCCTTTGAGCTAACATCAGCATGCTAACAAAATGTTAAATTGTGAGGTTTAGTTGGAATAATGTTTATACACTTAGCTGGTATGTTTACCACAGTACATTCACCATTTTAGACTCTTTTGTTAGCAATATACCCACAGCGCTAACATCGCACAATAAAACAAAACTCTTTTTTTATAACCAAGTAAACTTACATACTTACTTACGAAGACTAATTTGCAAATGCAACACGAGCTCTGCAAATTTGTCTGGTTCCCAGTTAACAGATGCAGGTGAAGAACAGACCTTTAGCTGAAAATGCATCCACTTGATTTGGCAACAGTGCTGTGACACTTATGACATATATATATCACTGTCAAAATGAATGACCGAACATGGCTTTATTTAAAAGCACCTTCAGACCACAAATACATCAGCAGGTCACAGAATGAACACAATGTCCCTGGCCTTAAAATATGATGTGCGGTTTAAAACATTGAGTTTATTACTTGTTGTATTTATGTTTCATCCCATCGGGGAAACTTAAAGCTATAGCAGTGGACTGATGGCTGAAACTGCAAGAAAAATGTCCTGAAAAGGCACCTCAAGAGCTAAGAATGTCCATTATAGCTGCATAGTTCACCATTTGTGCCTGTATTTAGTGACTCTGTCAACAGTTGGTTACTTGTGTCCACAGTTCTCCTCATATAGCTGAAGTCTGCTCCCTTTTGGTCATTCCATTGTCATTCCTGCTCTCGCTAGAGTCTCCATAGTCATTGATGGAGGGAAACCCAACCCTCTGCTCCATCCACTGGGCAACACTGAGCAGCTTCTTGTCTTGGAGGGCCGGGCCGATAAGCTGTAAACCAATGGGAAGGCCCTGTCTTGATAAAGCGGTTGGCACAGAAACAGCGGGGAGACCTGGGGTGAAGAAAAAAAGAGAGCTGAAGGAAAGTTCAGGCATTGATTAGATCTCAAGGTTAGTTAAAGGTTAGCTTGGAAAGAGATAAAAGGCTGGAGAAAGTTTAACTGAATGCACACACGCTGCTTTATGGCTTTGGGGTACACTGAGCTGAAAATACAATGTATTGGCCAGATAATGATGTTTTTTGTATTGTATAGAGATAAACAAAGAGGGAACTGCATTTTCTTACAATCATCAACTTTCCCTTTTAATTTTACTCTGACCTTTTTCTCCAACGTGCCTTTGTTACAGGATGGTAAATAAGAAGTATAAACTGAAGTAGTGAAAGGTTTTTAGCCGTGTGTGTGGGTGTATATATATATATATATATATGTGTGTGTATCCATTCATACAGGATATACAAGTTCCTTGAATCCTCCCACACTTTCTATACATGCACAAACACTTCTACCTGAAGGCCTTTTTTTCCCCCTCTCTCTGTACCTGCCATGTTGACGGGCTGGGTGAAGATGTCTTCCTGTGCACTGCGTGTTCGGTTGTCTTCCTGTGTAAAGTCAGAGTAACGGGCCGCATCAGTCAGAGTGGTGGGTGTCAGCAGCACGTCCACACCTGAGCTGAACACGCGCTTGAAATCATCTGCGATCAGCCGGCGGACTTTCTGAGCCTTTTCGATGTAGTGCTCGTAGTTCCTGACAGAATGAGGGCGAGGATGTTGACAGTTCATTCTTGCTGTTTTGGAAATATCATAGCTCCAACAGACTATTTTATTCTCTCTTATGTTTTATGAAAGTCAACTTGGCAAACAACAAATGTGCTCATAACTGTAGGGCCTAAATGACAATAGAGATTGGAGAGCAGAGAAAAGGTCTGTCTGAAGTTGGTGAATGGAAGCAGAAAGGTGCAAGAAGGTTCAATTTTTCGCCTTACTGTTTAAGCAGGAAGTAGTTCCCAGACAGTATTCTCCCCCTCACTACGTCGTTGAAGCCCTCGTGTCGGGTCGAGGCGTACATGGCCTCCGTCGAGCTGTCCACTGCACTACGATGGCCTGATAGAAGGAGGATGGAAACAATAATAGTCCAACAGATTCACAGTGTAATCTTGTGTGATGTGGCACCTTGTGTAAAATGCTCTTCTTGTAAAATGCTAGTGTGATGTCTCATCTTCACTGTGCAGAGTTTGACACCAGAAGGATGTTTTCACATTCATCTGCTGAAAGTGGAAAGTTTCTCTGTGCTCATTGAAAATCTGATTTTAAGGGGCGGGGCCTACCAGCATGATTTGTGACATCACA